AAATCTATTATAAAAACTTCCCTTCATCCAATAAAATATTAACTTTAACATCATTTTCTCAAATGAAATTATGTATTTTCTTCAAATAGTAGGCTGCAGATAACACCATCCTCTCCAAATGTGGAAACTGCCAAATAACTGCAGACAAAGTGCAGTCCCTGCAAGTACTTAAGCCTGTATGCACACACAGACTCGCACAAAGCAACACACATCAGTTAAACGGTGCAAATGCCTGTCAAAGGACTACAAATCCCAACACAGTGCCTGTCAAGTCTGCAGTCGCACAGGCTTGAAAAGTCATCAACATCTGAGGACGTTTTTACTGCTTCTTAACTGGCCCGAGCCCCTGCACATAAAACTTCAGGACCCCCACCACCACACACCTCCCTCCACCATCCTGCCCCTCACAGCCCTGGCCAGATCTGGTGTTTGCTGCTTGTTGATTGAAAAATGTGGACAATCACCGCAAATCTAGAATTGTGAAGGGACGTGCGAATGTCTTACATCACTCCCTTCTTCGTTCATTCTGCGCGGATTGCGTGGGTCGCCTGTGCGGCTCAGAGATCAGACGGGAAACAATGGCTTATCGTTCCTCCTGCTGTGCCACGTCTTGACAGGCATGACAGACCAACACCAGACTCATATCAGACGGATCGAATAACAGGGGGTTTATCCCACATGTGTGCTCTAAAATTGAACACATCATCTCACAGACAAAATTAAACCTCAAATCAAATACGTTTGAGATTATTTAATTTCGACAAATCTAGCTTGTTTACTTTAAATCCCTCTAATCTCTAAGATGAGTTTCATTATGAAGTCTTAAGACATAAACTCCAGGAATGCCACAGATTCCCAAATGCAGCACCAGTGAACAAAAGGCGGGTCTATCTGTGGCTGATGAATGAGGGTAAATGGTGTGGAGGTGAGGATATACGTGACGTGGTTGGCACAGAGTGACAGACAGATGGTTCGGAGACCCTTTTTAACTTGACCTCTGGCATCCATCTCAATCAAGCGTCTCACCCTGCCAAATGCAGATGTGTCCTCCCCTTTAGGTCGGTCAGAAACCCTCACCAAGTGTCAGCCTAGCATGAGTTTCCTGGTTCAGGCCTGCGTGACTGAAATGGTGGGGATTTTGCACGCTAAGGCATCAGATTTACGTCTCCTTGCACAGCTTCAAACGGAGCGCGGCCACTTTGACACCTGTGGACCGATTGGCCTTGCCCGGAAAAGGCGAGCATGTTTCTGAAGATCTGAGCTGCGGCTAATCCCCCACCCCACCCCACCCTGCTGCCAGATGCACACGATCACTCCTGGGTCAGTTTTGGGGCGTTTAAAGCCTCCCGTCACCCAGTCAACAGGTGGTAAGGTCCTCTGGCTTTCCTCTGTTTTAGCGGCTAAAGAAAATGTCCCGACACAAGTAAACACATTCACAGTTACTTCAAGTGGTGGGAAGAAACTGTGGCATGTTGGCAGCTGCCTCTCTCTCTGGCAAGCTCTTCAACAAACTGTTGGGTTACAGGGTTTTTCCCCCACCAAGTGTAATTTTGGCCTTTCTTGTCTTTTCTTGATAAGCTCGGACGATTACAGCGATCACGTTACAGTGTCATTGCTTTACATTTGCTATAATCATTTTGCACGAGGCCGTGAATGTTTTCCGAAGAATTAGATTGAAATTAAGGAAAGGCAGAAAGTTCACCTTAAATTTCAATATTGTTTGTTCTATTTTGGTTCCAGAAGAAGTGTTTTTACAGTGTATCATGGAGGCACTGTCTTGCTGTCTAATGTTAATAATAATAATCATAATATCTTAATTTATTGAGCATCTTCTCATCTTTGTCGGCCTCGGATTTGCTCTTCGCTCTGATTCTCTCTTGCATCTTGTAAAACTTTTCAGGTTTCAGACCAGTGCGCCAGCTCACTCTTACTTAACAGCCCTTAAAACTCAAAAAGCCTCACAATGCTTGAGGTGGCTTGGAATAAATCGCAGAGAACCAGCAAAACTCATAAAAGTCTCGGCAAAGGGAGGTGACCGGAGCGTTGTTTGTTGCTGTTGGCATTCTCTGGGCATCGACTGAACTTTGGGGAAGTGATGAAACGGCACAGAGCGTGTGTCACCAGGCGGTGCTCACAGCTTTAGGAGAGCGGAAACCAGCAAAGAGCAGTCTGCTTTCATGGGTCCCCTGACAGTGATGCACTACATGCATCACACCATTCACCTGGACATCTCTCTGTTGTTGTACCTGTCCCCTGCTCTCTTCTACTTTCACACATGAATTCTCTCTCTTTTTCACACAAACAGATATACATGCTGTGCTTTCAGTGTTTCTCATGCAAATAAAATGGAATAAAGAGCACAGACCCAGATTTGCATGCATGGGAGCTTGCATGTCCTGATCCATTCATTCCCAATGCATATTACAAGATTTTACTTCATATCCTTATGTAAAATCCAGGCAGAAGCTGATGTGTTATTATTTTGGCATCAAGATTATGAATTAATAAATTAATTGTGAATTTATTTTCTCCCCCCGCCCTAGCCTGTGACTGCCACCCTGTGGGCGCAGCAGGCAAGACGTGCAACCAGACCACTGGACAGTGCCCTTGCAAGGACGGTGTCACCGGCATCACCTGCAACCGCTGTGCCAAGGGCTACCAGCAGAGTCGCTCACCTGTGGCCCCCTGCATCAGTGAGTGACTCAAACACACACACACAATGACCTGTTAGTGCTTATCATATTAACTTGCACTCGGCGTTTATTAGATTGTCAGACCACTGAGCGGAGCATAACAATAATATAACGTAGAACCCATTAACAGTGGAGATGGTACTTGAACATTTTCAAGTACAAGTACAAATAAATTGGCAAAAATGTACCCGTAGAAGAAGTACCACGTAAATTTTTCTACTTGAGTAAAACTTAGTACTTTACTTGCTTTTAAATATACTTAAGGTACTATAAGTAAAAGTGCTTGCCTTCTGTAGCCTATTCTGCAGTGCATCATTATGGAGTCTCAGCGATGGACTACTTTTAGAAATATAAAAATTGCAACAATGTACTGGAGTTGAAAGTACACATATTTGCAGATATATGTGGTGGAGTACAAGTGAAAAGTACCAGAGTAATTAAAGCTACATACTGTAATAAAATGTACCAGTAACAAAGTAAATGCACTATGTTACATCTCACCACAGCGCAGTACAGAGTTACAGCAGAGTAGTGGACGCCTCTAACAGCAGCTCATACCCAAACTATGGAAATTGAGAAGCATAATTTAAAGCACACGTCCCTGTAGCCTGCAGTCCTTCTGGCCTCCTGACAGGCACACCCAACCCGATCTCTGCTCTGCATATACAGTACATGTGTTCTGTGGGTTTGCACGGCCACTGAAACTAAAATGATAATGTCATTGAGAACTCCCCAAAACATGCACATGCAAAGGCTGAGATCAGACTGTGACATTTGTTAAAGGAACAGAGAAAAGTTTAAGAGTGAGGTGGTGATGGGAATCTTTCTCAGAGTTCTTGTTGGTCATTGTTTCACTTGCTGTCAACAATGTGTCGTGCAGTGTGTGTGTTTGTGTGTGTGGGTATGAGTGCTTGCTTGCTTGTACTGTAGTAGCTGTAGTTTGCATGCAGGCCACACAGCTTTTTAATTTCCTGTGACAAGCATGCGTGTGTGTGTGTGTGTGTGTGTGTGTGTGTGTGTGTGAGCGTGCATGTCGGTTGTGAAACTCGCCAGTGCCCCGCCACATGCATGCATAATAGAGGGTAACTTTCCACCACACTGTGTGCCAGGCGGTGCGGGCACACATTGCGCTCACAAGACAAACCTCCACCAAAGCCACCACCGTGCCGCCCAGCGCCGTACCAAGCTCTGTCACACCGTGCCACATGGTGTCATGTCGTTTCTCTCACATGCGGCTCCAGAGCAGATGGCGGAGAGGTGAGCAGGAGAAAACAATGGTCACGGATAGCAGACCCCGCTTATTTGAATACCGCTGAACCATCTAGTGAGAACAAGAAGAATTGTGTATGTGCTTTTACGTACATTACGAACATTTGCATCCTTTGCAAAGAGAATTAATGACTGTGTGTGTGTCAATATGGCCTCATTGTCAGCATCTTACCTCCTATTGAGGCTCAGAAGACAAGATCATTAAGCAGCCAATTAGTATGATGGCAGCAGCCCTCATCTGAATGATCCTTTCATCATCTGTCTGTCTTCACAAGATGTGGCCATGAGGGCACACCGACTCAAAGTGGCTTCTAGCAGCTGCGCTTCCCTTCCAAACGCTTCATGCCCTCGTTTGTTTTTGTTGGCAGGGAGTCCATAATTTCAGGCAGACAACTGCTGCTTTTTTTTTGCCTCACTACCCCTCCTACCTCAAACCCTCAATCTCCAAATCCAATCAAAAGCAGATCCTCCGGGTGAATCCTTAAGCCGGCGCTCCACTAACTCTGTTTACGGTAAAGGCAGAGGGCCTGTTGTCAGCATTAGCATTTGTATTGGAAAGTTGCATACGATTAGAAGAGTGGTCCTGGAGGAATTCCACAAGGCACTTTTTAGTGTAGCCAGCGGGCACAGTAAGGGAGGGCTGCATCTGTGTCAAGATGATCCAAGCAAAATTGCTCCCTTGCCATCTGTCCATCTGTCTATACATACTTGCATGGACATTACACATCAGTGTTAACCCAGCAACTGTTGGCGGAGGACAAGGCTAATCCAGTGCAGCCACCTTTCCTTTTTGAATCCATGTCAATCAAAGAAATTTGTGGCGCTTGAAACTTGAATTTAGTTCTCTGGTCTCCATTATTCTTTCCACTTATACCGTCTCATGATCTTTCCATGCTCCAGAATGACAGTGAAACCACCACATTAGTCAGTGGAATGCATGATTTATTTGAGCCTGTCTTCCCTCTCACCACCAATAAGTATCCCTGTCACTCTGTCAATGTTTATCTAGCATGTCTGTCTGCAACGCCCCATGTGTTTTCATGTGCGTTGTTGACATATGTCACAATCCAAACCTACTGTAAGACAACCCTGGTATTTTCTCATATTGGGAGAGAACACTTCTACTTATCCTCTATGCTAAGCTTAGCCTCTGTATTTGTTTTTAGGCAAATTTATATTTAGACTAAACAGTCTTGTACCCCCGTCTTTGGAGTTGTTTTAAATGAATTCTGATGCACCTCATTTCCTTGGCCACACATGCACTTTTGGCCGGCACTCAGCCAAGTCACTCAGACTGCACTTGAAAGGTACGGATAACCAATGAAATAACTTTGAATTTCTCGTGTGTGTTTCAGAAATCCCAGTGGTCAACCCCACAGCTGTGGTGAGCAGCACAGAGGAACCAGCAGGTTAGTCTCCGCTCTCTGAACCTCACCCATAAGCACCGCCGCTTTATGAGAGGAACAAAAACATATTTTTTTATATTTCTGGACTTGATTTTTAAGGTGTGGAATAAATATTAATGGAGGGTGGGTCCCCCTTCTTTTGAAGTTCTGCAAGAGTGACCTAGAACACTGGGGCCCGGCAGAATTTTTCCATTGTCTTAAAAACCTGTGTCCTTGGCAAGTTTCTCAAAACGCCCGCTTCAAGTTAGTGGAGCCTCGCTGTGCTCAAAATATGGCTGCAACTTAAAGCCAAGGCCAGCAGATAGGCAGCAGAGGTGATTAGTTACAGTTTAGACGGGGCATATAGTGGAAGGGAGAGTACTGAGGCGTGAAAAGAGCATTGGCAAATGACTGGGGGGAAATTTGCTCAGTCTCTCCCTCCAACTCTCCAATTTAGGCTCCGGTCAATTACCCTACCCTTATTTTTCATACTGCGGGTTTCGGTTTCAATAGTGGTGTTGATTTGGAAATGTTGATTCATTAGTAAGTTAATAAAAATATATCATCACTCAGGCTCAAGATTGTACCCCCCACTTTGCTTCTTATACTCCACTGCACTATATATATATTGTGGTGGACGCTCATAAGTGGAGGCTGCTGTTCAAACAGATCATGAATGACAATAAAGTAAAGCACAGTTTTAATGGATTGAAATGGTTTAAATGAAAAGGGGATTATAGTTGACATCAAACTATGAAATGTCCTTATATCTAAATATATATATTTCATTACATTATGGCATTTAAATTGTTGCCTTATAGCAGTGTAATATGTCTTCTCATCCGACTCTTGGCAAGAATGTAAATAACTTTCCAAAATATCTAAATATCCCTTTAAAGATCTGTAGATACTGATAGAAATGTCCTCATATTTGCAGATTCCTCAATTGTGACTCTTATTTTTCTCTCCTCTCATTACTTAGGCCCTTGTATCTTTTTGGAAAAAAGAAATTGCACAGTCCAGCTCATTCTTGTGTTTAATTCTTTCCTGGGAAAATCTTACAGGGTCTTAGAACACAAGAGATGCTGATCACCAATTCCCCTCAGGCTTTAGTAAACAGACCAGAGCATTTTCCCCATCTTTCTCCTTCCTAAACTACCATAGAATGAGCGTCACCATCACAAACCTAGGGCGCTAAACTGTTTTTTGTGGAAGGGGCGGTGGATGCAATTTGTCCTTGTCATGGCACAGTGAAAGGGGCTTGAGGGAACAAGGGCGTCGGGAGCCCCGGAGCCAATTGTGCGTGGTTTGAGTGGGCTGGTCTTCTGGGTCAGTGGCCGATTCACCGAGAGCTTTTCCAGGTGAACAGCCAGCAGTGACTCTGCATGGGAAACACAGACGGTCCCCCAGCCAGTGTTTCACCACTGGTGTATACCTTCAGGCCAGCCACTGTATACCGCATACATAGGAACAGACACACACACACTATGGCAGTGATATAATGAAAACCATACACAACTCATAGAAGTGCATGCCTGTCACAGTCGCATGCACCCTTACATGATAATGATCTGCACATGAAACCACAAGCTCACTTATAATGAAAAAGACCTTTAGCAATGCAATCATCACATCATGCATTTAAAGTGAATTATGTACACACACACACACACACACACACACACACACACACACACATACACAAAAGCACATCAACCACATGCACAACTCGTCACCTGTCCACATCTACACCTTCGCTCATTGATTTTGTTGACATCGCCCGGTCTCCAGGTTATTGGAATGCTGTCTGCTCTCTCGTTCTTTCTTTTCTTTTCTTTTCTTTCCTCGTCTCTCCTCTCTCTGACTAGCAAAATGAGCTCTGATACACATCCAAGCCTGCTGGACATTTTTATTGGTCTCCTTGGTCCTCTGTTTCATGCTCCTGCGCTCCCTCCATTGCTTTATCCATCCTTTGCCACCAAAATATGGTTCATGCAACCCAGAAATCATAATTTCTCTCCCTCACAACCATTTTATTTGGTTTGCTTTGGAGAGTAATGTGACTGAATGATTTTCCTTTTGAAGGCAATGAGAGGCCTGACCGCAGGTACGAGTCCAGTGAGCAGCATGTGGCTTTTCAGTTTCACGCCCTGACATTCCAAGTGAGAGCGTGGTCAGCTTCTCATGTCCCCTGACTAAAATATGATGGAAAACAACCTTTCAGATTTTTTTCTATGACTTTGTGTTCTCCTCATAGTTTTGTAATTGAAATAAGTGGATCCAAAATTCCAAGGTTCATAAAACGCAGTGGCATCCAGTCAAGTACAGTAGAGCCGTGCTAATGATCAACAGCGTCTCTGTCTTTCTTGTCACGGCTCCAGAAATTGTAACCATGAGCACGATTTCAAAAAACACACTGCAATGCTTTTAAATTTTTATCAGGGATTTTTGTCTTAGATTTTTAACATGAGCACTTTCATCTGTTTTTGAAAGTTCATTGAATTTTGCGTGTCGTCTTTGTTCCCCTGTTCCCTTTGCTTTCAGATCATGGAAAACAGCTTCGTGATCCCAGAGAATCAAAGCTTTTTGAATGTTGAGATGACAAAATAAATATTTCGCCATCATGAGAAAGCAAAGCAGGAGAAATAATTACATGCATGTGCTTTCAAGGCTCAGGCCTTACAAGGGTTTTACTATCTGAATGAACGTATCTCCTTCTTTCATGGTTTATTGATAGTAAATTTTTCATGGCACAAAAATTTAATTCAGTTATTGTTGTTTTGGTCATGTTTTTATTCAGGTTTCAGGTAAAATTTGAGTCTGGATGTAGTTTTTTCAAATCCTTGACAGGACAGAATTGTTTCCAGTGCAGCCGGCCCACTCTGTGGCCCAACTTTGCTTGAAGAGCAGCCAGCTTGAGAAAGATGCATGCAGTTATTGATGACTAATCCAGACGAGGCCGGTCTTAAGAGTCAGTCAAGAAGGGATCTGAGAATGATCACTCAGCCAAGACGTCCATTTTAACTGTCACAATCATAATTGTAACACCTCATCACTGGCAGCTCCACCTATGAATGGTCAGCGGAGGTCATCTGTCCAATGTGTGGTCTCAGTCGTCACGTTGGCAGCCAGGGCCTATTCACATCCATCCAACCATGACCTGCTCCTACAACGCTCTGTCTTTACTCAAGACTGCTGAAAACATGTCAAACTGAACACTTTTGCTCCTCTGGTATGTTTCACTGGTCTCCCAGCACCAGCTGTTGTAGGGGTTTGATATGTGATTTGTCAGAAGTTGTATTTTAGCTCACAAAAACTTAACCAAGCACAGCATTATCCATCCTGCTCCAGTTTCCTGTAGATATATGATAATAAATGATAGATGTTGCTGTAATGCATACATCTTCATGTGTCAGCCTATATGCATGACCCAATCTCTCCTGATCTGCTTTTTCACACACACACCATTTGAACTGGTAATTAAGACATTACAACCTGTGTGGACAGTTCAAATGACTCAGGACTGCCGTGGTCTTGACCAAAACCCTGGAGGCGAGGAGCCTTCTACTTCATATAAACTTAAGGGTGTAGTTACACTTTGGGAAGCCAAAGGACTGAATGTTTGTTGTCTTTCTTCTTGCAGATTGTGAGTCCTATTGTAAACCAGTAAAGGGCAACCTGAAGATCAATATGAAGAAATATTGCAAGAAAGATTATGGTGAGAGAAAAGAATTACGCAAGTAATAAATACACTGTATTGGGAGTACGGATCTATATTGACAGTATTATTTTAAATGAATGTGTTCACAGCGGTCCAAGTGAACGTACTGGACATGGAGACCATTGGGGACTGGGCCAAGTTCTCTGTTAACTTGGTGTCTGTGTACAAGAGCCGTGGCGAGCCTCTGAAGCGAGGTGACAACATCCTGTGGGTACACATGAAGGACCTGGCCTGCAAATGCCCCAAGATTCAGATGAGCAAGAGGTTTTTGGTGATGGGAGGCGCTGACGGCGGAACGGGCCCAGGGGCGGGTCCAGCGGTTGGCGCAGGGGCTGGTGCCACCAGCACGGGGGCAGAGCGAGTGGGCCTGGTGGCCGATAAGAACAGCCTGGTGATCCAGTGGAGGGACGTTTGGACGAGACGTCTGAGGAAGTTCCAGCGCAAAGAGAAGAAGGGGAAGTGCAGCAAAGCGTGATGGGGAAGCAGCGTCCATCCCTACCTCTTCCCCTCCCATTGACCACCTTCATGAACCCTGACCACCCCCCCCACCCCCCCATCACAGGAACACTGCGCATTACAAAGACTGCATGTACCCTCCCTGTTTTAAGGACTACATTTTGTGTATATTGTATAATTATTTTCCTTTTTATTTTTCAAGGTTTGTCTTTGTTATGTCACTCGTCTTTTCGTCCATTGGTTTGCCTTAAAAAGGGACCATTAAAAAGGGTATGAAGTGTAGACAAAAGCAGACGCCATTCTCTCCTTCAGCGACGACAGCGGTAAAGTCCACTCGTCCTCCATCAGCGATCTCTCAACACAGATCTCTAAGAACTCTGTCATCTTGTTTCAGTTCTCACACATAAGACTACCAGTGATCACATTTACATACTCCTGAGGATTTTATTCAACAGTGTTTGTCACTTCAGAGACGGACTAAAATCAGCGACAAGATCAGCTGCACACTCTCAGTTGGGCGGCCTCACGTTTCGCTGTTGAAACAAACTCGACTCGGATCAGTGCAAGCTGGTGCACCTGACAATTTTTCAACATTTGCTGTTAGAATGTTCATAAAGTGGCTCCAGGTCTCTGATGTAACTTGTATGGACTGTTACTAAATGAAAAAAACACTCTTGTCCCGTGAGGAACCAAGGGCTCCCTTTGTAGGGACATTTTCCACAGCAAACCTCAGTCACACCACCACTGCTGCTGCCACCAGACAGTCCTCACAGAATAAACATCATGTATTTGATGCAACTGCTCATAAAAGAGTTTATATTCTTTGTGTGGCTATTTGTTATCACATCCATACCCCAGCCATATTTTTATTTGAAAATTTAGCTTGTTTCATTTTAAGCACAACAAAACTTGTTGGCATGTGTGAGTCATATTCCAGGCCTCTGGAGCTGAGCATCTAGTCCCTCTCATGAGTGCTTTATAAACTAATGTATCACCGACATGATTCATTGCTTGTCACTTTTTTTCTGGAAGAAAGATTAAGCGGTGTGGACAAATGGCTGGAATTTCAGAACAATACCAATATTTCATTTCCGAGGAGACTTTTCGCTTTATGGGTTATGTCTTCCGCTGGGTAGTGGCCTCCCAGATGTTGCTGTGTGGCCACTGTCATTACTTTTGTCTTTACATGTCTGAACATTGTTTTTTTTCCCATGTGTCTAGAGACTGGCAGGCTTTTGTTTGCCAAAATAAGAGATTGAAACGAGAGTTCCTTTTCATGCAGTAAAATGAAAACAAAGTCACATAAACAACACAGTCGTGTTTTCCTCAAGCATATTTTAACAAAATGAATGAGGCTGGAAACATTTTAGTGCTCGCTGATTGTATTATGACATGAGAGGGTCATATTTCATTCCTCATGTGCTTTGTTATGTTTGCATGTTTGCGGTTTTTGCTGGTCCATCAAAAACTTACAGTTAGCAGAGCAAGAACCAAACTGACATGAGCATCAAGATCCAAAGGAAAACTTCCCAGGTCATCTTCCCCCCCGACTTGCTTACCCAAACGAAGTCCCAGTCATCCTTTACCAAATAAGCATAGTCCATTTTTAAATCCAATTAGGAGACTATGAAAGTCGGGACTAACAAAAACCACAGAGACCCGTGTGGTGGCTCTTAAGCTTTTTATCTGCCTGTAAAGCACATTTCAATTTATTTAAATAGAGAACAAGATAAACATGCAGTTCTGAGGGGCACATCAAACTAGCATGGCAGTGAGTGTGCCGACAGGCATGTCATGCTAGCTAGTGGTTACGCTCCTTTGGTTGTGGCGGTCTGTTTGGTTTGTCACTCGTCCAGAAGTGTCTCTCCTCTGTGTCAGCCACCATCCTCCCCAAACTCCCCGTTTAACCCATTGTGCATGTTTTGTATTCAGCGTCTTAGAGAAATGACAGCTCAGAATGAGGCTGCCAGATCTCCTCAGTGGTTAACTGTACTGCACTGTAGTTCATGTTTTCACGTCTCATATGAATGTACGTCAAACTGTGAAGAACACACTCACACACAAAATGGTCTGATTGTAAATGTATGAAATAATGTCGCCAAGCCTAAGAATGTGGACACCATGACAGTTGATGATGTTATAAACTATGAACAGCATTTGATTTTGCTCAAATGACTATCTGTCTGACTTATGATGACATTTTAAAGAAGACATATTCTGCTCATATTCAGATTTATAATCTGAATTTGGGTTCTTACTTGAAATGTTCAGAAAAAACATCACTTTCCTCACCTTCCTTGTCTTTACAGCCTCTGTCTGAAACGCTTGGTTTTAACTCCTATCTCTCTAAGGCGGCTCTTTTAATGTTGTGATTGGTCAACCGCTTCCAGGACGTGTAGAAAATGTGGGCCTCCGCTGTCACTTTACTTTGCCTTGCCAGGGGGTGTGCCAGATTATCTGATATGTCAGGCATCGTGACATCAGAATGATGTCACGATGCAGACGAAGTATCACCCAGACTATTGACAAACCATTACAGATGTTTTAGTTTTCTGTGGGGTAGAGCAGCTCCCTTTAACTTTCCAGACTTTTAACATTCACAAAAAAAAGTTTATAACACGTGAGAAAAGAAAAACTGAAAAAGTATTATAATTCCAATCCAACCTTTAATATTCCAATCCAAAAAACAACCTGTTACCAAAATGACAACATTCTGATTCTGGTGTGTGACAAAAAAAAGGGACAAAACTTGCATTGAAGTTCTGACACAATTCCCACCGATGGATTTGAACAAAAATGCAGAACCAAATTTGTGTGATGGCTGTCCGCAGTGGCCTGTCGGACAGGTGGTGTCTCCTCACCCTGGTATGTGAGCATGGCGTGACACACTATGATGGATGGGCTTATTACGTGTCCGTGAGGCCTCTCTGGCCCTCAACTCCATGAGTGCATAACACGCTGTCCTTGAATCTGGACTGTCTTTCACAAAATCCCTTCTTACTTCCTCTTGTTCGTTGTTTCCATTCTCTCCAATAACATATTCCGAATGGTGGCTAAAGATAAGAGGTAAGAGTGAGCCAGATGTTGGGGGAGTGGAAGTGTAGTCTTGTGAAAGCTATTTAGCGAGCCTCATAGGGTGAGCCTTCTTGTTGTTTTACGTTAACAAGCCTGGCAGCTTGGCAGCGGGACTGAGGCCATAACTGCTCCGCTTTGTTTCCCCCCTGTTGCAGCATTTATGACATTCACAGGTGTGTGTTTGAGTGGGTCTCTAATTAACCATCCCCAATTAAACAAGTGATGTGCACATAAAAGTGCAGCGAGGTAGGAGAGCTCTCATGATAAAGAAATATTATTTACATTTTCCTGCTCTGATTCATATTCTCTTTCCATTCCACTTCCATCTACATCCCCGCTTGTTTGAATACGTCTTGACATGTTTTTAAAGTTGTAAATATGTACTGAACTGCCTCTGCCATTCATGTTGTCTTTTTGTAAGTGGTCACTCGGCCTGGGACGGCTCACGTGTATGGATGTACAAACCAGATGATGTTATATGGATGTAGAAACCAGAAACATATGCTTTTGTGATCATGACCAGAAGATGTGGTTCAAATATTACAGAGAATGTATTCCCCTTTTGGTTTTGCGTTGTTTCCAGACAACAGCCGCCCAAACTGTAAATGACTTTCGAGGGGGGAAAAAATGTGACAGGGGCTGATCGGACCCTCTGCTTTTCCCATAGAGGTGCAGACATGAACTGACACAACAACCCAACACCCTCTGTTACATTAATGCCCGGGGAATAACGCTCCACTCACACAGAAGAATTCTTCCGTCAGCTCAGCCCTGCTCTTCACTTCTTATTATATCCGAAGCTTCCTTGTACATTTTCCTTTGAGGCAATGAACCACTGACTTTTTAATCTAAATGGTAAAAAAAATAAATTATTAGTTAATGAGCTGTGTGTCGTGTTGATCATCTGTCTCTCCAATAGCCGTCATTTGCCCGAGCTGTGGAAATGATATCAAATTGATATGTATGTATTTCTCATAGGAAAGTATGCTCTCATGCAGTGGGCACCGTTCTGGTGTGTTTCCACTCACAGGGGCTGCACTGGGGATTGAAGGGAGGGGGGGCACACTGGGTAGATCAGCTCCTCTCCTCTATGAACGGTGCACAAGAGCCAAAGCTCTGTAAATAAACAGTGAGGCACACACCACTTGAATATGTACCTCACCTCTGAGGAAACCCAACTCCAGAGTCAAGTCTGAGGCAGGAAACCCCTTACTACCTCCCGCTCACCACCACACACCCCCTCACCTCTCTCCGTGTCTCCCCACCCTCAACAGCTCCATCTTCCTGAAGGTAAATTACAGGAAAGTGACCATTTATCATCACTCTCCCCAGGAATAGCCATCAAGGCTTAGAAAATAGAGGCTGCTGATAATGTCATGGAAACACACACAGATACACAAACATGTATAACATTACATACGTCTCGGCATCAATCACATCGATCCCAGACGTCCCGGTCTCCCATCAGCTTGCTGTTCCTGTCCACTTCCCATTACGATGAAAGAGCTTAAATGGCCTCCGACCAAATGGACAGTGGAAATCCAGAGTTATCGCCCTATGACAGATCCAGCTACAGTAACGGAGTCAACCTTAGGGCTGAGTCTAAGGGAAAATCCACTCTTCTTGATGAAGATTGGAAGACTAATGGAAGACTGTGACTGTCAGAGACCTTCTTATTATGTATCTTTCAATCTCCCTCTCTGTCTCTCTGACTTCTTCCTTTACTGCTTGTAATGGCACTGAGATATTGGACCAAATCCAGTGTTAATTGATGCCCATTTCCCCTCAGGATGCTCTCAGGCATTTGTATTTCTGTCTTTCTTGTTTCTTTGTAACATCCACTGAAGCCAAGTCCCTGACCTTCAACCGAGAGGTAGAAATCTGGACACTATAGCCACATTACTCCATCACAGCCATCACCAGTGGTCAGTAAAGCTGTTTTCAGAAATGACCTGTGGGTAAAATCCAGAGAATTGGCTTAGAATTTTTGAATTAGAAGCATCATCAACCCCCAGGGAATCCCCTGCCGTATTCACACATCGACTTCTCCTGGATTTCTATACAGCCATTATTCTAGTAGGCCAGGCAGAGAAACCCTATATCACCTGACTAATTTCAGCACTCACTCTCTCTAATTAAGGCTCCTACAAGAGTATAACACTTGTCATTTAACTTGTCTTTCTATTTTTCTGTCTCAGTCTGGACACAGTGTGGTCATTTGGTTTAAGCATGTGCAAACACAAAGTACATCTATGGATATGTAACTATTTTTCATAAACCTTAGGCTACATTCACAATAAATAATAAGTTGCTAATTTAATAATAGCGTTTTAAAATGAAAACGATGTTCGCTCCTTATCAGTAATATTCATTTGTAATTGTGCACAAAGTATCAATTACAAATGAATTTCTTAATTAATAGTAGAATAAATTCCCCTGCCTCTCTTATATATAAGTCTGTGTAGCTATTTTTCAGAGAGCTAAACTTCAACATAACAGAGGTAAATGTCCTCTTCAGTGACACTATCTTTAGACACATTCATCGTGGACTTTTGAACCCGATGCCGCTCTTTCCAATCCCAGCGCCTCTAAAGCCAAGAGGCCACATTCCCTCCCCAACATGCTTCCCCCACACTACATATATTATAGGATATATAAGACAGCTTAACCAATGTTTTGGTTGGGAGTGTGCCTCTACACCAGCATGTCAAAATCAGCGACCAAAATTGAAACCAGTTTTTTTGACTTTCAAACACTCCCTTTCTCCCACCTTGATAAATGCATACTTAGTCGAAACCTGCTGTATTTAGATTGGCGGGCCCCTCCTTGGATTAGTTGTAAGTTATAACTATAATTAAATTGATAAAGACGTGGTTATATCAGCGGATGTCCCTTTGTAAATCTGTAAAAATTCTGACTTTTCAAGTGCGTTCAGGAAACCACTGAGTGTTTGTAGAGGAAGCAGAGCTCTGGAGACTCACTGGTCTGGGAGAGAGCTGCTGGAAAAGAGCAAAGTGGATTCGGCCAAATACTCCCTGTTCTTCCTCACTCCGTTTGCTATCTGACACACACACATACACACACATCCACACAAACACACACCATCCAGCGGCGGGCGAGGGCAGCTTACCAGTCGTGCTTTCATAAGCTGCCAAAGCGGCTTCATTGGCTTTAAATGGAGCCTCATTACCACTGTGCTTCAAAGCTCGACAACGGCATTATCCAGCATAGGGTTTTTCTGTGTGTGTGTGTGTGTCTGTTTCCTAAATCTATTTTTTTCCCTTATGTACGCCTCTCACTTTTTGCCACATTGACGACTTTCCATTCTAATGATCCCGACGGCTTATTTTCCCTTTTTTATTCCCTTTTTTCTCACCATCCCTCTCCCTCGGAGACAGTTAACGCATGTGTGAATATCCGACTGTATCTGTGAACACTCATGTACGCTTGTCTGTGAGTTTACGAGCATGTGTGTGGGTCACCGAGCACTAACCCCCTCGAAAACCGCGAAAAAAATGTGGCGAGAAATCTGTGTGGACTAGGATCATAAATATTCAGTGGTGAAGGTCTGATCTGTTTCTCTCTCCCTCTCTTTTGCTGCACGTCTTTTCTCTGAGTGAAACCAGCTGTCGTCTTGAAGAGACACCACTCCCTCTGGAACTGACAACATGCGTGACAACGACCACACCTCCCCTCGTACATCTGTCGTCCTTCAATCTCTCAATCTTTCCATCTTTTCATTCAACTCAAAAGAGAAGTACATATTTCAAGCCTGCAAGGGAAAACATCTTCTCCTCACCTCCAACTCATCCAGTGTAACAGCTCACAAAGGGGCCAATCATGTTCATGATACTCGTGGACAATTCTCCAGGCACAAACACACAGTGTCGGGGATTGTAAGGGACCGCTGTCGCACAAAACTGGGATTCAGTGTTCCTTTGTTGGTGCTTTTTACTGGAGAAACAAACTTTATTGGGCCAGTGAGTGATTGAGAATGAGTGAGGAGTAGGGGGTAATTTAAAACCAGTGTGGTCCCTGATAGGAGCATTTTGCAGCACAAGCCTGCTCCTAATCCGCCCCTCAGCTTTGTGTTTGATTGGGTACTGTTGAAAATGGGGATGAGTCTGCCTCTTCAAAGCCTGTAACATAAGAAGAATGTGTGTGTGTGAGTGTGCCCATGTATTAAGGTGATCACAAAAAGCGGATTGTGTGCAGATGGACAAACAGAAATTACACTGATCCATTCTGCATAAGCCCTATATGAGTTGTCTCACTTAATACGTCACTTTTTAATAGCTTTGCTTTAAGGCCAGAGTGAATATTACAATTTCATTTCAATGTGCACTCACACATCTGAAATGTTTGTAATGGATTTGAAGTTACGGTTAAGGTGCCATGTTCTGTTTTGACCGTATTTCTCCATCTGATGGCGGTGGGCCACTTCAGGATAAATGTATCCGTGGCGAACCTTTGCCTCCTGTTCACTTCCAACATGTGGCGAGGTAAATCCCATTGTGGCCTTGCTCAGAGTTAAGCTTTGCATTCACCTATGTGTGACCGTGCCTTAAAGCCAGGGGCAGACATTTTGGAGAAAGTCAGAGTGTCTCTGCTTTGATTTTGCCAACATCTGTGGAGAAAGGAAAGTCAAAAAGGCCATTGTCCTCACATTCACCCATAGACGTCATGCTGTACGCTTCAGATCATGTAAAATGGAAAACAAATCATGAAAAAGGACGACAGAGATAGATAGATTCTTTAATGGTTGATTTTCAGGTCATTTTCCACAAACCAACATACCAAAAAAACCATAACAACTCTTACCCTTGCACCTTCAGCAGCTCTGGATTGACTGAGGTGGACATTTGGTCCAGCTCGACATCTTTATTATTGTGCATGTTTAAAAACGTAGGAGCTTGTGGAGTCCCAGATTTAACAGGACATATTCTGAATTAATATATTTCAGGGAGCATTATTCATTCATATTTTATAAGTGATGACAGATTGTGAAAATGTGCCATTTGAGATGTATCCATGCTGAATTGGCTTTAAGTTGCGTAGGTTGTCTCTCAAATACATTTGATGAAATATGAATAATTCAGTGGTAAGTGTTTAAAATAAACTTAATAGACTTATTTTTTTTGGAATATACACAAAATCCCTTTAGAATGGTCACAGAGAAACATGTTTTGATTCTGAGACCTCTAACGCCAAGGAGGAATGGTGTGCATTTTCCAAAGAAAATCTGGTTCTGGACAGAATTAAATCTCAGATAAGTCCAAGTTCATTGTTTTTCAAGTCAAAAACCAATTCAACTTCCATTTTCGAGTGAAGTCAACTTAACATTTGTCAACCTATGTCAACATTCGTCAACCTTTCTCTCTGCATCTTTACACACTCCTGAATACTTCATTAGAATAGATATATCAATGACTCAGACCCTCTTTCTGCTCTACAAACCAGGCAATACTGTTCTGTACTGTGTCAGGCCCTGTGCCGATCCACCTCAGGCCCCATCTGTTGGCGTTTAGCACCAGCTTCCCCGCCTCTGCACTGATCTCCAGTCTACATTAACTGCCCTAATTTGTCTGCCAAAGCCCACTCTGATTGCTACCATGTGATGCTATGTGCAAATTGAGGGATGCATACTTATCTGTGAGGATGGACAGAGATAGAGCAATGGGAGGGCTTAAAACAAGAGAGACCATGTTAAAAAGGAGGAGAGTGATTAGAGAATGACATGAAGAACAGACCACATGACAGCATGGGGACAAGAAGATAGGAGCAGGCAGTGGTTCAGTAAAAAAAAACAGTGAAATGTGACCGATGTGGTTTTGATGGTTTAGTGAAGACAG